AAAAAAAGGGTATACAGATGTCGTCCATTTTGTATCTGTGTATTCAAAGTGCTTAGGATAGATATATAGTTACATTCTCTTAATGAATAGAGTGATTTGTTCTAATGGTGTTTGTAAATAGGATATCATGTCTGCATCTTGTGCAGCAATTAACCACTATGAAGAATGCATGCAATGCATTAATTATTGAAACTGTCCTACCAATTTTGTTTGAAACTGTCTCATTGTTACTTGTTTCTCAATAAAATTATGGGAAAAAAATTAAAAGAAAACAAGTTTCTGATTAAAATCGATGTCAGGATCTCCTCCTCCAACTTGGGGACTTAAAGGGAGTAATTCTTTGTGTCTCTGTCATTTTACGGTTTCTCCAATACTGGCACCAAGTGTGGCAGTCTTTCAAATAGGATTTTAAAAGGAGAGTCTATCCCAGTATGGGGTGCAGCATGCCAGCAGTAGGGCCATCAGAAGCAGTTTTCTACCGCACATCAGAATATATATCAGACATTACCTAAAGTAAGCCACAGAATACGCTATAAAATTTGCTTATATAAAGTCAAAACAAATAAAATTATCCCATGCGTATTATATGACCATAGTGTAATGAAATTGAAAGTCAGTACAAAAACAGGTCACTTAAAGGCCCATTCACACATGAAAATTCAAAACTTTCAAAAATGAAAGAAAGAGTTCAATTCATACAACTACAAATGACAATGGTGAAATCATAATGGATCCTCAGGAAATCAATAAGATTATGCGTACAGCTCTGAGAAATTTTCATTTAATAAGATGGGAAACTCAAAACAAATGGATAGATTCCTATGTGAGTTTCCAAAACCAAGTCAACAATATCTAAAGGTTTAATAAACCTACATCCTTCAATGTAATTGAAAATGTAATTACAATCCTACCTGGAAAGAAAATCACATGTCTTAATGGACTGGTCCCTACCTCTCCACCCCCTCGTCTGGCCGAGTCCAGCAGGTCGTGCTCCTGGAGGG